ACACTCAAGTAATTATTTCACTGGAAGTCATGCATTACGAGGTGAAACATTCAGAAATACGTCCTTTGCATTTTGGAAACACCAACACAATTCAAAACAATTTTACTGCTCCCCACTATCTAACTTGCCTTCCATTTAATCATTCGATCCTGAACTCGTGTCGGAAAAGAAGAGAAAAGAAACCCTCCATATGTGCCTCCATTAATATGCTGGAAAGGTTATCAAACAGAAGATATTGGATTCGATTAGAAGGAGTATACTTACTGACGGGTGTGTTTCAATTCATTATTCTGAGAGTTGATCAAACCAACTAAATACATGCATCCATGTATATATATATACATGTGCATACTCAACGTTTACCTATTTATCGAATTGAGTGGTGATGAATTCCCAACAAATCGATTGTTCTATTTTTTTTTATTACAGCTTGATTCCACACCATATTTTCCTGGTACAGGTATGGAATTTTCAGCATATGATATCGGTAGCCCAAATTTTGCAGGCCGACCATAGATATCAGGTGTGCGTCTACAGGGGATCGAACCTTGGACTATGTGTATGGTCGGCGAGAGTCCTAACCACTGTGTCACCGACGCACAAGTGATAACTCACCCCACACTTCACCACAACACAAGTAGGAGAAACCAGTTGGTGAAATGAAAGACAAGATGATGAGATATGAAAATAAAAGAAGCGATTGTGAGTCTCGACTTGGTTCGTTTGTTCAAAAATGTCGAGGCTAACGCCTAAGATTTTCAAAAATTAAACTTCCGTGGACTGTAAAAAGGATCACAATATTATGATACTGTTTTTCAATTTATTTAACTCCGTTTTATTTGTTCCAGTTCATGTTTATTATTCGGTTCATCATTTCACAAATGTTCACAGTACATGTCACTTGAGATAAATTTCTTTTCCCAGTAATCCCACTTCTATTTTATTAATTTCAACATCACCTTCATCTCTGTCTTCATGATATATATATATATATATATATATTGGTTAAGCCATTGTAATTCTATGTTAACGTTTTGTTTGGCGTAGCACACAATAACACAATATGATCTACAAGATGAGTAGATGATAATTCGCAGTCACTAGGGTTTACTACTATATTGGTTAGCTGAATCTCTACCACACAAATATAAGACTGGCGGATTATTAGTAAAGGAAGCCATATATGATATCTATTTGCTGAGTAGATCTTTCTATCAACCGTTAGAAACATAACTAGAGGTTGAACGATTTTTGAAAAACACTTATTTTCTTAAAATATTTACCTTGAAGCAAAAAATGCAAATTTTAAGTGACTGCCATTCTCACTCTAGAGATATGAAAAATTAAAAAATGCTCTTAGGTGGATAGTATTATTTATTGAAGATAACATTCCAGTTAGGAAATTCACTTTAAGCACATAGTACTAATATTCAAGTTAGAAAATGAAAACAATAGGTCTAAGTGTAGTCCAGCTATAAATATCTACTTGAATTCTTAAATGACACAAATAACTCTTTAAAGAAGGTTGTCCATGATCACATGATAGTGACCAGAGTCATTCTGTACATCGCTGAGTGGTGGTCAACTTCATTTTGTCTTCTGGTATGAGTCAAAGTGAATGAAAGTAGTGATTTTTCTAGATTCCAGATTGAACTGCTAAATGTGAAGATAGAACTGAAAAATAATAACATGACTGAAGTTGTCATTCAGAGTCTAACTGGCATGTTTGATTCAACACTTTAGTTGATCAGTGGCGTAATAACTCTAAAAGTGCCTGTGAACGAAGGGAATTCAGGTGCTTAATGAAGCATCAGTTAAGTAGAGGCCACAGATTGGGCCTACTGATGCGTAACAAAATTCCCGAAACCCATATCTAGATCTTCCTGTTCATTATTTTCAACCATCTAAAAGAGACCGATTATTTAGCATTCATAAAAGTGGGACTTTCATTCATCATTGCTGTTATTCGTTTCTAAATTCCCATTTACTCATTAAGGTGAAACAAAACAATGAGATAAGATTGATATTCCTTTTCAATTAGTTCCTCACCATCGGATGTACACTGATATATAGTTTTTCTTTACATCAAAATGTGTCACGAAGCAAGTGGTTATTTTAGTTAATCAGTTTCAGGTATGTGGGGGGGGGGGGAGATGAAATGAAGAGGTTAAAGGTCATTAACACAACTGACTAATAAGTGTTAGTAACAACGTATCTAATTTTTGAAGGAGGGGTGAAAATCAATTACGGAATTCAAGACGAGTTAATTCGAAGGGGTTAGCAACAGCTTATCAGGTAGTCGAGAAATTTGTAAAATAATGATAACTGAGAAGAATAGGACGATTCAGAAGAATTACGTAAAATACAATCAAGTTAGTGGAATTAGCTAGAATTGTAAAAATTAACAAAGTCAAAAGATAGTTATAAGCGGAGGGGAAAGAATCGTTTTTAAAAACTTAATACATATTACGTATTTGGCCATGGCGCAATCCTTTACCTCGCTAAGCCAGAACTAAAAAGCTGGTGAAGAGGAAAGGTTGGGCATGAGGCTAGCAGCCCCATGCTGTAAAATAAACACTGCTACAGAAACTTCAGGCTTCTAGCTTGAAGCCCTATGCTCCACTGGGAACGTGAAGGAATAAAAAAAAGAAAGGAGCTGTACAAATTTCTTTTGAACGCACAGATTTGGCTTGTTCAGATGAATTCCGATTGCCTCTGCTGTATTTAAAAGTCGTACCTGTAAACCTTGCTAGAGGTTTTGCTTGATAGGGACTAGCAGTGGAATTGAGGATGCACACTGCGTCCTAATTTGGACGGTCCTCAACCAGTATCTTTGCAATCATAATTATGAAACTGTTTTGAGGCTACAAAAAATTAATCATCAAACAGTAGGTCAGTCAGGAGCCCACAGAACATCTCTAACTGAAGTACTAAATGATGTGAGTTCGAATTATTGAGTAGACAGCAAGTTATTTAAATCCCTTGGTAATAAGTGCCAAATAAACACGAAACCTAGGCCCAGAACTTTCTGTCAGCTGCATCCAAGAACTTTATATATATTTTATTTTTACTTGGTCTCAGTGTAAACTATAATTAGACATTCTCACCGATAATTTCCCCCTCTTGTTGTAAAGACATAGGTTCATATGTCAGTAAATGTCTGCAGATCATATAACTGATGTTCTGTCACCTTTGCTGCTGTACTAACCTGTGTTTTCATCTTCTGAGTTATCTATGCTATTCTACGTATCATTTTGACTTCACTGTACAACAATTCCATTGACCTAACTCTATTGCTTCTTTGATGGAGACATAGTATTCTATTTTTCTTCCTTAGTTTTTCATAAAGTTAATATGAATAGAACGTAGTTCTGAAGTGAGTCATACATTGCATCGTAACACGTAGTTCTTTACAAAACAGAAATTAGTATTTACTAATGCTGAGGAAAGTACTGAAAGAGGTGAAATATCAATGGTACTACTATTATTATACTTATAGTAGATATGAATTCAACACTCGAATTTACTATTAGTCTCTTCTGTGTTTAATATACTTTTTAAAAAATGTATAATTAAACCTTCCTCTTTTTAATTTTCGTCATGAGAGAGAATTTTAATCTTGTCTAATCTCCAGATATTACTGATTAGAGAAGCTAATAGTATTTTCCTCATGAAAAAGTTTTAATTCACTACAGTATTATTCTAAGTGAATGCATTTACAAGCTAAATTAAGAGAAGCTGGCGAATAAAACTTCATTATACATATAACTTCTATAGGCTAAATTCAGTTTACTGTACACGAGGATTTAAATTGTCTGGGCAGAATAGAAAATATGCTAGCTACTGTCCTACGCTTTAGTTCAGTTTTCGACAATTTCAACTGATCAGAAATAAATTAACCATTTACTTGTTTACATATATATATATATATATCTAAAGATGCTTTAATTTGAACACCTTAGTCTATTTAACAAAGTAGAGACGAAGACTGGACAAGGGCATAGGTTATGCTGGTGACTATTTCGTTGATGTTGGCAAGCAGTGGAATCAAGAAGGTGCTTTTCGGCCTGTTTAGGATTCATCATCTGGATATACCTGCATCCCCAGTGAGTAAAAGTATTCTGATCGAGAATTAAACTCAGATGTCAGTGAACCTCATCTTGTGCAGTAAAACATAAGCTGTTATTTCCTGAAATTATTATTTTTGAATTATACGCTTGTTGGTTCTACTGTATCGAAATGCTGTCTGTTTCTTTCCTACTACGAATATTCAGTAATGGCTTAAGCTTTGCGAGAAGTCTAGTCACTAGTCGGTAACTTCTTAGTTACTGATTTACTGCTCTATTAATTAATAAGAAGAACAACTGCTGATTAGGTTTTGTTATTATACTTGGTGATTTTACCTCTGTAAGACAGTTGACATTTTTAATTGGTCAGCGTCTTATTTTGCTATTCTTAACTAGGTTGGTTTAATTTAAGTAGTTTAAGAGAAGAACTAGTCCATCTTTGGAAGGCTAAACAGACTAGTATTTACGTATAAACGTAAACAAGTGTCTTTTTTCAGTTTTCGTCTTCAGCTCGTTACCAATAGATACGCTTGTCAACGAAGGTATTATCTTATGGAAAGTATGTGACCTCCCTCGAATAATTTTTTATTTCTTTTGAAAGGAAGTCGTAAGAACCTTTCATTCATGTTTTGTTTTGATGAATTATTGATAAATACTTTTCAGCTAAATTGATTTTAATTGATCTAAGTGACTAGCTTAATCAAAAAGGTTATTTTGGAATAAAACCCTAATGTCGATTAAATAGAGTTATCAGTTCCTGTGTAAAACTGGATTATCTATGTACTCACGTAAAATTGACATCTGACTTCACAGACAGCTTGAATGTCCTTCAGAAGGGGTGCGTACAGTCTTTAATTACCCTATGTTATACATATCCTAATTCCCTTACATTTAACTTACTGCCTACATTTTTCTTACCTTCAAGTTATTTGGGTAATATGAATTTTTATTTGCTATAGTTATCCAATTAGTTACTGTCTAAATTTACTGAAAAGAATAATGTGAGAGATTCTCAGATAATTGGTCACTTGGGGCTGTAGTCCATGAACTTAAGGACTTGACTTTCAGCCAGTGAGTCCAGAGATTCAACTTCACTCCACCCAATAAGATCAAGTTCACCTGCAACTATCATCATTTCCCACACTGCAGTTGTGACACACTGCCAAGTCAATAAAAATTCAAGTGGTTATTGATTAACATTTTGTCCTTTCATTTCATTCCTCTAACCAGTCCAGGAAAACTATATCACGGAAGTTTAAGTTTTAAAAATCTTAAGTTGTAGCCTCGACATTTTTGAACAAACTAGCCAAGTCGAGACTCACAATCTCTGCTTTTATTTTCATATCTCATCATCTTGTCTTTCATCTCAACACCTGATTTCTCCTACTTGTGTTGTGGTGAAGTGTGGGGTGAATTATCACTTGCATAGAACAGTCGATTTGTTGAGAATTCATCACCACTCAATTCGATAAATAGGTGAACGTTGAGTATGCACATGTATATATATATATTTATATATATACGTGTATGCATGTATTTAGTTGGTTTGATCAACTCTCAGAATTATGAATTGAAACGCACCCGTCAGTAAGTATACTCTTCCTAATCGAATCCAATATCTTCTGTTTGATAACCTTTCCAGCATATTAATGCGCACACACATGGAGGGTTACTTTTCTCTTCTTTTCTGACACGAGTTCGGGATCGAATGATTAAATGGAAGGCAAGTTAGATAGTGGAGAGAAGTAAAATTGTTTGGTGTTTCCAAAATGCGAAGGACGTTTTTCTGAATGTTTCTCCTCGTAATGCATGACTTCCGTGAAATAATAATTACTCGAGGGATAATCACAGTGGAGATGTGTAATGAAGCAGTTCATAAAATTTTATGATGAAAATACAAATAATATTCTATCATATTTATATTGTGTTTGATATGAATGAAACATGGGTGATTGTTGGTCGTGAGGTGAGACTCTAATCCACCATCTGTTTTTCATTATTCTAGTAGGGCATTTAAACTATGCTGAGTGGAACAGGCTAAGGTCAGTCTTGGGAGATTAGGGTAATTATATGGTAGGCATAATTATAGTTCTTTAACATATTTACCTTAGTTTCTCATTAAGAATAATTGTCTAAGCGTATATGTGTATTAAAAAAAATTGTTTATTCGAAACGTAGGAAGTCTGTCAGTACTCACTGTCGATTATATCGTTTGATTTTAAATATTTCCCTGTTGTTTTTGAGAACTGTTTGCATTACTTTGATGCATTTTTTAATAAATAAAGATGAACTGGTGTGATGCCAGTCAAACTACCCATCTTACTTGTTGGTAATATGGGAAGCTTCCAGTGAAATAGTTTCCTAATAACGAACAGCTTATCATTGACAGACATATGATGAACCCTTACTGATTAATGTTAACCTAGATATCACGAAGACTGGACTTGAATTAGTGAGTCACTGGGAGCCAAAGTCACTGAACAAATATTTTTCTTTACCTTACAGTTCTTCAGGAGTGCATACGCAATACCTTAATAATAGACCCAAATCGAGACCTGTAGTTCAAGAGGCTAACTTTTTAGCCACTGACCTATGACTCACGAATTCATATTTCTTTCAACTCGCTCTAAAGTTCCACCACCATACAATGCCGTCAGCGGGCATTCACTTCACAGGCAACAACACAGACCCCACCTGTCACTAATTCCTACTGAAATCTAATAGCCTGCCAGTAATAATCAAGATATTGGTATTTAGATATAAGTATAAAACTTGGGCACTGTGGTAGAGTATAATTCCATAATGGATAAGATTTTATTTTGATAAATCACACAGTGTAGTACAGTTATATTAAATGATGACGTTTCGAGCACAAACTATTGCTCATAATCATATCAAGTTGATATGATTATGAGCAATAGTTTGTGCTCGAAACGTCATCATTTAATATAACTGTACTACACTGTGTGATTTATCAAAATAAAATCTTATCCATTATGGAATTGGTATTTAGAATTGACATTTGTGGTGGTTTCGATTTATTTCAAAATGTATACTTCGCTACTTACCAGCAATACTTTGGTGAGGTTGTTTGGAAGAAACGTCTGTCCACTGATTCACAGTTTTCGCTAATTGTGTAAGTGAAGTTGGTCTATTATGAAATGTGTAGCGAAGTTCATAGATTGTTGCGTCGGTGGCATAGCGGTAGAGTGCTCACTGACCACGCAGGTGCTCCAGGGTTCGATATCCGGCCACCAACTCACTACTTTACCTCACTAAGCCAATAATAAGACAGGTAAAGAGGGAAGGTTGGACATGAGGCTAGCAAACCCATCCCGTAAAAATAAACACCACTGCTACCGAAACTTCAAGCCTTTGGCTTGAACCCCTATATTCCACTGGGAAAGTAAAGGAATTAAAAAAATAGATTGCTATGTATTTACAAAGTTATGATTTAGATAAACTTCACATAGAATATTTAACAGACAGACATTTATCAACTAGGAGTACTTCCAGAGATCATTAGGGAGGCATTAAATTCGTATCAGTAGACGTGGGACTTTGTTTCTACTCACTGTGATCGCACTAATGTATAAACAAAGTTTTTTTTGATGGCGCTTTTTAGTGACTGAAGTTCCTGTCCCATATTTACTCTTCACTTCACCATATCTGTGATTTCAATCACCAAAGGTTCCAACTTAGTTTTTGTGTATGAATGAATGGCACAATACTCTCTGTCTAACATACTTAACATCTAATCATTCGTAATATGTTTAAAAGGTAGGTAAAGACAAAGCTGCGTTACCCATCTTTCCCGCCATTTCTTTTTTTATATAAATTAAACCATTCTAAGGCTTCCTGCCGATTGCCTCCAACCATCTAATAGCAAAAATGTGTTTGAAATTTATAAAATTCATTCGAATTTGCTTGTCCAGAAGTTTAATGTGTATTTGTTACGGCATAAAAACAGGTTTATGACAATTTATTTCAAATTGATAAATAACAACAAAATCATTTTCAGCTTAAATTTGTTTATTCTCGAAAACCAAGAACATATTGCTCACATTAAAATATCTTATTCTGGTAAACAGTTCACCTTTTCTGATAAAGATATCTGACAGTGAGTAAATAAGAAAATACTTTGAAATGATTACTTTAAACGGTGATAAAGTTAATTTATTAAGCAGATGTTTTAATGCTACAAAAAACTCTTGTTAATCATCAGTGGATAGATATACATTCACTTGTGTTTGAGTATATATATTGGCAACAGAAGTGTTTATCTGTGTGTATGTGTGTGTTGTACAGAGACATTGACATGAGAAATTAACTGTGAATGCTTTCAATTATGCCCTTAGATATCTGTGTAGTTTGAGGCTACAATGTTAGGAGTGCGATTTATTACGAAGATGAATTCTCATGTCGTTTTGAAGGTAATGTTGCGTTGTTGGCACAGTGGTAGAATATTCGCCAACCACTCGTGTGGTTCGGGCTTCGATCTCCGGCCAACACACTTCTTTACCTCATTAAGCATGTAGTAGGATCGGTGAACACGGAAGGTTAGGCATGAGGTTAGCAACTCCATCCCGTGAAAATGAATACTACTGCTATCACAGCTTGAAGCCCTATGTTCCGCTGGGAACGTGAAGGAATAAAATAAATAAATAACAAATTATTAAAAGGTAATAACTGCCGTAAATTTAAACAAAGCTATCTTCTGTAGATCGTAAAGAAAAACTAGTACAAATTAAAACGAAATCTGATAGAGCTAAACACTAAGAATGCGTCGGTGGCATAGCGGTTAGGACGCTCACCGACCATGCACATGGTCCGGGGTTGGATCCCCGGCCGACGCACTCCTTTACTTCGCTAAGCCAGAAATAATGCTGGTGAAGAGGAAAGGTTAGGCATGAGGCTAGCAAACCCCATCCTGTAAAATAAACACTGCTTCAGAAACTTAAAGCCACTAGCTTGAAGCCTTATGTTCCACTGGGGAACGTGAAGGAAAAAATAATAGAAAAGTTTGATTATCCCAGTAATGATATTTTGATCAAATACTAATCGTGTGGAAGAAACTGAATTAAACATGTTTTCACTTGTCGTGAAGTCTAGTGAAGTCGACTTCACAATACAAATGCTAACTTCAGTATTTCCTGAAAACGTACAATGATACTGTTTTTAAAAAGAAATCCTCTTCGGAGCGGTCACCTACGTTACCCTTTTTTAACTTCCAAGCAACAAGACTGTTTGTTCCATTACTACACAGCTGGTGTAATGGTGATGGAAAGAAGTGATATATCAAAGATTCAAATAACAGCCAAATAAAACTGAAAACCAAGAAGCACACGGTCGACTGTTTTATTTCACTTACAGACTCTTAGAAATGTACACGCGGGATCTCACAGTAGATTCCGGCTGCCAGCTATTAGTTGGTTGAATGGCAGTGTAATGCCACTGAAACCTTAAGGTCCCAGATTCAGTTCCGCTCAAGATGGTAGATGTGTGCTAATGAACAGATTTGAACTATGATGAAATCACTCTCCTATACTTCTTGGTCTT